ACAAATCCAGGAGAAGCATTTTTTCACCAAGTCATCAAAGGCAGACATATGAATTGCCATATCCATTTCAGTTACTGGATTGTGTGGCCCTAGCAAACACTCAAACTTTTCAACCTTGGTATCCAGTGACTGACCTCACAGAAAGCCAGCAGTAGGTCAGAGAGGGGAACTGTGTCACCTTTGCAGTCTGAATGGCAGTGCATGCAGATTAGCCAGTTCTGGGGTCAGTCTGTCAGCTCAGCTTGACTGTGGTATGCATTACTAACTTGAAAGGAGCACTCTGATACTTTGTGGCATTTAGGATACAGAGACCTTCACAACTTCAGTGCAAATGTGTAAAAAATCACTTTTATAAATAAGTTCTAGGGTTTTCAAGTTGTATTAGCATACAAACTTCAGAGGTTATTAAAACATTCACATTCTCAGCACAATATACTTTATTGTGGTGTAAAATAAGAGGAAGCAGCAAAGTGTTGTAGTGCTTGTCAAAAACTGTCTCCATATTGCCTGAGGGTACTTTCTCTGCAAATTTCCTCCTTGCACAACTAGTTCATATCTTGTTTGCTTACAGAGTAAGTTGTGCAATGCCATTCTGTTGCCAGAAAAATTAGAGAACAGTTTCTTGATGTAAAGCAAGTTCCAGTTCATAAGTATTTGAAATTTTATGATACAGCTATCAAAAACTTGTTTTTCTGTCCAGAATTAATGGTCCAGTTAGCAAATATTTCTGCTACTAGCAGAAATGAGTGTATCTATGATGCATTTAATTCATTCATTCTTTAATGTTTTCATTAAAAGATGGTAACTTTAATTCATGAATGAGATGTTTATTGTGAGACTTTGATATCAAGACTAAACCAAACAATCATATTGTTTCAAGAAGCCAGGCCCCACTAATTTGAGCAGCACTAACTCAAGCAACTAGATACAGTGAGGCAGGTCCAAAGAGAAGGTCTAACATTCCTAGATGCAAATTCAAGAGCCATTTCAAAGTGAATGATTTATATTACAACAATTAACCTAATCTGATATTACTCTGAGACATTAGGAATAAAACTCCACAGCAGTCTGCCTACTTGCCTCATCATGCCAATTTTCCCAAAGAAATCAGAAGATTACTCTTAACATCAGTGGTTCTGACTTCCTTTTCATACAGTAAGCATTACAATATGTTTTGGTAAATTCACATAATGCATGATTCCTGAATGTCTAAAATTTAAATCAAACAGAAACCTTTTCTAATGGCAGACAGGTTGTATTTGTGATGATCTAAAAAGGCATTTTTATGCAGCACAGCTTATAACAATCTGTTGCAATGCTTCCTTTCCCTTTCCCTTTCTACCATACAGTAAGTCAGAGGGAAAGCAAAATCCCACTGTTGGTAGGAATGAAGCCAGCCTGTGCCAGTAGTTAAAAACATGGAAGGGAGGCTATGTGCAGAGAGCTGTAAGACACCCTGAACCTCAACAGACCAAACAGAACACTTTATGATTGCTCACATATTGACACGTGGTGTGGGCCTTAATAACTAAAGGCAATTTACTCATCTGGTTTCAAGCACTTACACACACACACACACACACACACACACACACACACACGCACACACACACACACAGGAAAAAACCCTGAACTGGAACTCCGGACAAGGGCTGAGCTGGAAAAAGCAGTGCTACAGTGCCCTCCGCTGGCACAGCTCCGGCAGGGGCTAAGAGTTGCTCCTCTATAGTCTGAAGGGAAGGAGGCTGAAAGGAGGAGACCAAAATCTGAATATTTGAATATCTCAAAGGCTGAGAATATCCAGAGTGTTTGGATCAGGTGGATTTCTTGATCCTTCACTACTCATGTATGACAGAGCATCCGGAAGAGCAACTCTTAAAAACCTACTCACTGTCATTTTACATAGGCATGGGCAGAACATCTATCCTTTGTCTCCTTCCGTGTCTCTTTGATGTGAAATTCCATCTGGATCTCAGCTGGTCAGAAAATCCCTAGAAAAGGAAATAATTAAAGCAAGTTTTAATCTTAGTCTTATCAAAATTATATTTAAAAGTAGATAATGAAGGATAATTAATGTCTTTATAAATAGTCTATTGAAAGCAGAGAAATCAAATTACTTAAGTGCTTGTGTTCATACAGAGATCACAGTCAGAATTAGACAATGAGAAAACACAGAAAATATTTCCAGATAGGGAACAAAATCTCGTCTTTTCTAGGTACCAGCAGCGTCACAAAATTGTCTCCTGCTTCACATCAACCTATGTACATTTCACTTATACTTAGAAAATGATACAGCACATGCATAGCACAGGGTCCGGTGCATGAAACCATGAAACAAGGAGAGACAGAACTAGTCACCCCGCCTGTCATGCAGCCTCATTTGTCACTGCTCCTTTTCAGCACACTAATAAAACATGCACTTGTGACTCATCTTATTGCATAATATTCTGTCATTAACTACCATTGTCCAAGTTTCCTCCTCAAAGCTGATTCAGTGTGATATTTCATCTCTTTCTCTTTTGCCTCCTCCCACCCTTTTACAGTGCCCTGAGGACTACTCCTTGTGTTTATCAAGAGGTACACTACTTTTGTGCCCCTAATCACCAAGTTTTGTTCTAGTTTCGGATGCTGTTGGTCTTGTTAGGAGGCACGTACTAAACAGATTAAAATCCTATCTCAAAAAATAAGAATTGCAATGAGGCAAGTGAAAGGTTTGCCTTAAGTGCAAGCGATTCCTTGACATGGCATTCTTTGTTGACATCCCTATACGTAGTTAAATAAAAAGAAAAAATAAAACCAAGCAAACAAAAAACAAAACAAAACAAAACAAAAAAAAAAAAACCAAAAAAAACAAACCACAAACTAAGAAAGGAATCTAGGCTCCAGAGAGGGATCTGGACAGGCTGGATCAGTGGGCCAAGGCCAATGGTATGCAGTTCAACAGGCCAAGTGCCAGGTTCTGCACTTGGGTCCCAACAACTGCTTGCAGTATTGTATGCTTGGGGAAGAATGGTTGGAAAGATGCCTGGGGGAAAAGGACCTGGGGGTGCTGGTTGACAGTGATGTGCCCAGAGAGGCAAGAAGGCCAATGGCATCCTGGCCTGTGTCAGCAATAGTGTGGCCAGCAGGAGCGGGGTGGGGATTGTCCCCCTGTACTGGGCACTGGTGAGGCCACACTTTGAGCACTGTGTCCAGCTCTGGGCCCCTCACTACAAGAAAGACATTGAGGTTCTGGAACGTGTCCAGAGAAGGGCAGCAGAGCAGGGGAAGGGTCTGGAGCACAACTCCTGTGAGGAGAGGCTGAGGGGGCTGGGGGTGTTTAGCCTGGATAAGAGGAGGCTCAGGGGTGACCTTGTTGCTCCCTACAGCTGCCTGAAAGGAGGGTGCAGGTGCAGCCAGGAGGGAGTCTGCCTCTTCTACCAGGCAACCAGGGGCAGGATGAGAACAAATGGCCTCAAGCACCAGAGGAGCTTTAGATTGGCTAAAGGAAGAATTTCCTCACTGAAAGAGTGGTCAAGCATTGAAACAGGTTTTCCAGGGAAGCGGTAGTCACCATTCCTGGAAGCATTCAAAAAAGTGTAGCTGTGGCATGTGGGGACATGGTTGAGTGGTGGACTTAGTGGTGTTAAAGTAATGGTTAGACTTGATCTGAAGTGTCTTTTCCAGCTTAAATGGTTCCATAATTCTATGATTTCATTTTTTGAAATTTTTTTCCGATGTAGACCTGTCTGGCATCCTCTGGAGGGCAGTTTCCAGAAGCATCCAAGACATCCCAACAACAACAGGGAACATCACACTCATAGCACTGTAGTTAAATATAATAATAGAGTAATGGTATGTCTCAAATTGGAAGGGATCCATAAGGATGAACAGGTCCAATTCCCACCTCCTTGCAGTAAACCATATGACTAAAAGTATCATCCAAAACCTCCTTGAACTCTGAAAGGCTGCCTATAACTGAGTAAAGAGAAAAGTTTCTTTTCAGAAACGGAAAGAACCCTACTGCAAAGGTCTTGTAACAAAGAAGTTCCACATAACAGCTAAGAAAATGAAGTGCTCTTAACAGTTGTCTTGACTGCTCACCTTTTAAAAGGAAAAATCTGAATATACAAGTATCTGTAGGGACATTTTTTACTCTCAAGATAATTTTTGATTTAAAAATAGGTGCAATTATAGATGATTTTTCCTGTTGCTGCAAGGAAACTGATAATTGTTGTAAAATGTCCACAGAGAACCTGAACTCAAATCATATTTGATATACATGCACATTTGAGTGATCCTTGGATATGGCAAAGTAGGAACTTCCAGTCATGTTCTTCCCTTAAAAAACAGATTGGATCTTACTTGTTAAAAATTTTCTGAGATGGACTTCTCAGTGATTTCCTTCAATGGCATATATATGAAAAAGAAGGTTCCTTCTACAAATCAAACCACTGTTCTAATGCTATTTCTGGACCTGCAACTTTTCCGATGTATAATACCTTTACATTTATATCCCATGGCACTTAATGAGATCTATGGATGAAATAGAATAAAATATATGTAGCACAAATGCCACATTTAAGCCTGTTTCCTTAAGATGTCAGGGGAAAAAAGTGTCCTCAGAGTAAATGTTGGTATTCGATAGGGAGCAAAGGGATGGATTTACCCTAAGTGGAGTTATCTGGGAGCTTTTCTGTTAAGTCATTGAACACAGGAAAAGTGAGATCCCACTTTCTGATCCTTCAAAGCAGCACAACCAGAGCCAGTGTTTGTCTTCTTGTTCTAACAGGGATTGGCAACATCTCAACTGTATTATTTTACAACTTCTTTAGTGCTACATAGGTGTCTCCGCAGGTCAGTCAAAAACATGCCTCACAGTGAGAGGAAGTAAGGGAAGGAAGAGAAGGGAAGAAAGGAAGAAAAGGAAAGGAAGGAAAGGAAGGTGGGAGGGAGAGAGCTTGGTTCGGCCCACCAGGAGGAGCTTGGCGGCGTTGTGGAAGTGACCTCACTCCCGGGACAGCGCCGGGATCCACTCAGCGCTGGAGCACCGGCGGCCAGTCCGGGCGCGCCTTGCGAGCAGCCAATGGCAGGGGCGGCGCCGCTTGTTGTCGCCCCGTGAGGCGGCTGCGCTCTGGGCTCGGTGCCGCCGCCGCCGCAGGAGGGACCCGGGAGGCCCCAGGCCCCGGTACCCGCTCGTCTCTCGCTGGCCCCGCAGCCCCCGCGGAGGGCGGGGAGATGCAGCCCCCGGGCGCTCAGCAGCCGCCGCTCTACGCGCCCAGCAGCGGGGACTTCACCTTCGTCTCCTCGGCGGACGCCGAAGGTGAGCGCGGGGCCGCGGGCAGGGCCGCGCTCGCTGTCCCGAGGCAGGGGCTCGGCCGGGCCCCGGAGAACGCAGAGACAGGAGGGGCCTTCCCTGTCCTCCGTCCCGCCGCCCCCGCCGTTGGTGTCGTGGCTGGGGGCGGAGCGGGGTGGCCGAGGTGGCCGCTGCCCTGGGGCCGCTGCCGCGGAGCGCCCCGCTGCCCGTCCGCGTCACGGCAGCAGCACCAGCGTGGCAAAGGCGGCCGTGCCGCGCCGCTTCCCAGCTGCTCCGAAAGACGGAGCCGAGCCTGTCCCGGCTACGTGACATAACCGTGACCGCTGTCACTGCCCGCTCCTCAGCCCGTGTTGCTGGAAGCCCACTTTGTTGTCTTACCGAAGATTGTGTCGTATGTTCACGTTTGCTGTAATGTGCTAAATGTCTGCGCCGTGTCTCATTGCGGCACAGTCATGAAGGAGAAAAAGAGGCCGTGTATGTAATTTAGGGGGTGAAGTGTGGCCTGCTGCCAAACTGCTGCACAAACAGCAGTGGTGTGCCAGCATGCCGTGAAGATGTGCCTTCAGACTGCAAAACTGAACGTACAGGGGTCAACATCGTGCAAACTTACTCTGTTGGAGAATGATTTTTTGGTCTCTCCCCATTTAAATAACAAGGATTCTACTTTCATGTATGTAGTTACTCTTAAAATTGTGACTAGGGAGTCGTATAAATCCTTACTCATGTGTCCCGCCCTGGAAAGGAATTGCTGAAGTGGAGAAATTACTGTGGAATACCTGTTCTTTAGTGAACTTCACAGTCCTTCTGAAAAGAAATACAAGCCAACAGTACTGTTGTAGCTGTGGGTTTTTTTGTTACTGGGGTTTTTTTTGATCGTTAGTTTTCCTTTGTTTTGTTATTTCTTCTTCACCTTGGCCTGAAAAAGAATCCATGTACCTCTGAGCAGAAGCTCTCTGCTTCTTCTCTGGAAATATTTGTTGAGCAATGCTGAACCTGATCTAGTAAAGCTGCCTTTCTGGTAGGTTGTGTTGTGTGGCCAGTGTAGCCTGCTCACACTTCGCTCTGTGTTTTTTATGAACACAAGCAAGGTGGGATCTCCTATGTGTTCAAGTGTAGTCCTGTCCTCAAAGTGCTGGATAGACCTACCCTAGGAAAGAAAAACATAAACAAAATTAAACATCTTCATATTTTAAAATACTATGCATCTTTGCATGTTTCCCAAATTTCAGTCCATATGAAAAAATTAAAATTAGCTGAACTGTTTCCCCATTTTATTTCTGTGGGAGCTGTATGGAAGAAAGCTGGAGAGATGTTCACAATTAGGTCAACAGGCAGAAAGAGCCTTCTGTTTGGGGTTTTGCCTCTTGTACTGCTTTTTCAAAATTAAGAGGCAAGACTGTTTTGAAAGCTGGTTTTCTACAATGCTTTGTTGAAATGAGGCATCTGAGAGACTTTGGTTTTGCTTTTGTGGTGTTCAGCCTGAGACAGTAGCAGTGAAGGCACTCAGACTCACTAGGAACCATCAACGTCATCAGCTCTTGGTGGATTTTCTGGTTGCCCTGCAGTTAAAAATCTTATTCAAAACAGCCTGCAGAAGAGGAGGTGACCAGTCCCTTTCCCCCAGGTTTCTGCAGCTTTTGTCTTGCAAAGCAGACTTAAGATCATGTTAATAGATTTTATAATTCAAAAGTGTGGTTGCAGGTATTCATCGACTGCTAAAAGGAGTCTTGGTAAATATGACTTGTGTAGGAATTTCCGTGCCTCAGGATGGATTGTTAGTGGTCCCTGAGAAAGGAGAAATACACGGCTGGTTGGACTGCTGTGTTGGCTTCTTTTGACAGCTGCATTTATGCACAGAGTAGCACTCCTTGCAAAAAAGTGTTATCTTGTAGCAGAAACAAGTATTTCTTAATGCCATTAGGGTTCCCCAATCAAGAGAAAGCTTCTGAGCCTTCAGCTTGATGCCCAGGCATGAAGAGTTTTCTTTTTTCCTCCCTCTGTAAACAGCAGAGGAAGGCTTTGCTTGAGTCTGGTGAGAATGGTGTATGCATGCGGGGACTGGGAAGAGCAAAGAGAAATTCCTGCTTTAAGTTACAGTGATCTTTACCAGGGCCCGGTGCAGACGGTGTTCCAAGAATCAAAGGAATGGATCTGTAACTCTTATGATTATGAAATAGCTGGAAAGCATTTGTGGAGAAACTTGAATGCTGAGTGGCCTAGCAAGCTGGCCTGGGAAGGAGAATTCTGTTGAATTAATTGTGATACTGAATGATTGATGAACACCTAAGACATGTTGGCTGAAGAGATTGAGATTCTGTTACTGTACTAATTTTGTTTCTATAACACTGTAGTATTTCCAAAGAGGATGTTGCAAATGTAATCTAGAAATATGGCCTGATATGCCTCTGTGAGTGTTTCAGAAGTACTTGCTATAGTTAGGTGTTTTGGGAAATTTGTGCTGAGGAGCCTTTATGTATGAAAAACACACAATGATGATAAGGCAAAAGATATTTTCTTTACCTCTCAATATATTTATAGTAAGCTTGTACAAAATATTTACAAGTTTCTGTTTGGATTTTCCTTCTTAGCAGATAATGGAAATCCACTATTTCCTAAAGGAACAATTACTCCCTTCTTATGTATCTTTTTCTTTCATCAGTTGCTTAATTTATTTTCCTATACTATTTTTTATTTTCCGTCTATATGTAACTGAATAAAATGAGAAAAAAAATTTAATATTTATTGGCAATTTTGCCAAAACCAACCAGAACATCGCTAAATTGCTCTTTGTTTTACTTAGTACTGTGGTGGAAAAAGATCATAGTATATCAGAGAGAAGTTGTATAATTGTATAACTTCTTATTGTCTAGAGTCTAAGGATTTCGATAGCATTCTTTCTCTAACATTTTCAGCTGCATTGAAGGCAGGCTACAAATTAAAACATCTTCAAATGGTTTCCTTTTATGAAAAATTTGACATAAAAGCAGAGAGTGGTTTTAGCTGAAACAAGGCCACTATTAAATATGGGTGCCAAAAGAGGTAGAGTAGGATCAGAAAAAAAATTTAAATAATCCACAATTTATAGCATGGTTAGACTCTTAGTAGTGTCCTCCTTTTGTGCCTTTAAACACCTAATGTTAAAGCAGAAATGGAAGCCTTTCTGTTGTCCCACAACACTGTGTCATAAAACAAGAGTCCCTTCTAAAAGCTAAAACCTGGTATTTGAGGCCTAACCCAATATTGTTACCATTGCAATAAAACCACCAGTACACTTTCAAATTATGTATCTGTGAAAGTGTAATTTTATTTTGTAGCTTTGGCTGTTTTATGGTCATGACCAACACATGTAGCTTCATATGTTTGTTGTTTATCTTCCAGTACTTTTAAAATCAAATGGCTTTTGTCAAGACATAAAAAGGTCTATATTTTTCTCCCTTTTTCTTTAGATCTTAGTGGTTCCATAACAACTCCAGATGTTAAGCTGAATCTTGGAGGAGAATTCATCAAAGAATCTACTGCAACTACATTCCTAAGACAGAGAGGATATGGCTGGCTTCTGGAAGTGGAAGATGATTACCCAGACGATAACAAACCACTCTTGTATGTTGTAATTATTTTTGGGTATCTATCTTTATTAGCTCTGTAGGGAAAAGAAACAGCTTGTAGTCTCTGATTGTCCCACAGCCTTGTGCTGTGACTAGAATTCTCTTTGACAAATTACTTGACCAATGAGTGTTTTCTGATGCAAGAATGGAAGCATTGTTTCTCATTATGGATTTCAGTCTCTGTAAGTATAAAGCCTATATGGCTTCTCTGCTTTTAACTGTTGATCTTGTAATGATTTCAAAAAAAGGGGCTGTATTCTTTGTATCTTTTAAATTCCTGTTTCTGGATATTGTGAAAGAATCAAAGAGTAAGACAACCTCGTGGGAAGACTCCTGTTAAGTAAATCTCAGTCAGTTCTGTCAGTTATTCTGAAGCAAAAGCATTGTGAATTATGGTTGTTAACAGCAGGGATGTTAGAACCAAGGTAGCACAAACTTTATAATCTTTGATGCTGCCTTTTGCTATAAAGCTAGATTAAAAGGGTACTAGTGCTGAAGGACAATAATGTCTGGCATCCATTGTTCTGTTCATAGAAACCTGGCTGGCTGAAGAAAGTTTGTATCTTAAGGTTATTACATTGTGAGTCAGGCAGCCTGGTCCTTGTTCTGCACCTAAGCAACTTCATTCTCACTATCTCAGTGAATTAAACATAATGATGCTTTAAAAAATTGGTATGAGACAGAGAGTACTCTGTAGAACTCACATGAGAGTGTTGGGAGACAACAGGTGTCTGGAGAGCTTAATAATGACAGTACTACTTGAGAACTGGTTTAAATTAAACTGTGCAGAAGTAGGTCCTTGTGTGAATGTCTGTTTTGTGAACCTCTAACTTTTAATTAAGAAACAAACTTGTGTAGTGAGGTTGCAACATAGGAATCCTGACTTTAGTGTAATTTTGTTGTTTTGATTATTCCCAACAACGTGTCATAATGAATTCTTACAATCTGAATCCTATTAAGGATTGAAAGAGCAACAGGCTGCTAAGGGAAGTTCACCAATGCAGTGCTACAGTGCAAATGTTTTGTTCAATAAAGTGAGATTATTTTATTACTTTCTCATGGGGCAGCCTTACTCCAGACATTTGTTTCCTGATACAACTACCATCACTTTCAGGTGATGTATCTGTCAGCTTCATGCAAAAGACAATTTATTCACATGAGAAGCTGTCAGAAGACCTAGACAATGAGAAATAATTATTTCCATGTAGCAAATATTTGTATTACACAGTCTACAGAGTAAAGTATAGGTCTGCTACATCCTTTTTAGATAAATGGTGGTAAATAGATGCTTCTAGTCTGTTCCTTAGATTCAGGGATGGTTAAAGAACAATTTTTCTTACTTAGTCACCAGTTAGTAATACCACTTATAAAGTAGCTTTAGTAATAGTAATACAAAAATTGCCTTGAGGGACTGAATTAACAGTATTTAATTTATTTTTTTTAACAGAATTTGTGGTGAATCACATCTTTGTAATTTTTTCTCACATTAGCTTTTCTGAAGGAAAAGCCAAAAAAACAAAGCCTTGGACAAAACCTTCATAAATGGACTTAGGGTATAATTCTACATTTTTCTTCACTGAGTTCTTAAATGTAGAGCAGTATATCTGCTGGAAGTCTCTCGCAACTCTTCAGAGTTCCTCTGTCATGACTGAGGCTCTGCACATTAAGAAGTGGAGTTGCCCATCACCTGGGAAGTGTGATTCCTTCCCCATTAGGCTAGTACAGTCAGGGCAGCATGTACCAGCTAAGAGTCCTGGGCAGTAGAGTCTTCTGGCCAATTTGTATCTGCTTGCAGAGAGTTTGTAACAGGAAGCAGAGAAGGCAAGAAGACGAGGGCAGGATGTGTTGATACATGTTGCTGCTAGTGCAAGTGACTTCTATTTATTTTACCCATAGTGGACACAAGCTAGAAATTAAACAGTAGGCATAAACTTGTCTGTTGAAAACTACTGTTCTTGAAGGAAGCTAAACTCCATTTTCTTTTAAAAAATTATTTTTACATGACGTATTTGGAATGGTTTAAGATTAGTGAATGTAATGGTATTCTTTCTTGCAGAATTTGAACTAAAATATTTTTATAGTAAGTGTGCTCATGGCAAACTGCTTGACATAGGAGTACACAGACATTCTTTATGTGTGCATGTCTTTGACTTGTAGTTACAATGGCACAAATCTGTCACATGTCCTAGTGTGTCCAAAAAAACCCCTCCTATCTTAATGCAGACTCCCAGGGTATCACAGATTTGTAGAATGGTTTGGGTTGGAAGAGACCTTAAAGATCATCCAGTTCCACCCCCCTGTCTTGGGCAGGGACACCTTTCACCAGTCCAAGTTACTCAGAGCCCCATCCAGCCTGGTCTGGGTATGCTGTGTATGTTTTCTGTTGTCAGTCATGTAATTTGTTTTTGAGTATTTAAATAAATCTAACTGTGTCCCACCAGTTGCTGAATGCAGCATGAAGTTATGGTGTTGCTTTACCGTGGATAAACCGTTCCTTTGCTAGTCGTGGCTTCAGAAAGCCTTGTGCCTGACAGGAGACTTGCTCTATAAATCTACTGTTTGCCCCTGTACTTATTTTTTAGTTTTATTTTATTACTGTGGTGTATAGTAATGCTCACTTGCTTTACAATTTCAGGGAAGAACTTGACATTGATCTGAAGGATATTTACTACAAAATCCGATGTGTGTTGATGCCTATGCCATCTCTTGGGTTCAATAGGCAGGTAGTGAGAGACAATCCAGACTTTTGGGGTCCTCTGGCAGTTGTCCTCTTCTTCTCAATGATTTCATTATATGGACAATTTAAGGTAGGTATAAATCTTCTGCCTAAAAAGAAATCTGAACTAAATTTGGGAATGTGATTGCTAAGTAATTTGCATTCTTACGTAGGTAGAAAGTCTTTTTTTCACATACTAATGTGGGGCATTTCAAGTGCTGTTTCTCAAGTTAATATGTAGAAAGACAGCAGTTAGGAATGTATTAAATAGCCCACGGGTAAGTTAATCATGATGAAATGTCAGGTTTGTTTTTATACAGTAAAACAAAGGAACAATGTGGTTTCTAGAGGAACCAGATTGATACTAATGGGTTTATAGTCATATTAGTGAATCTTTCCATTTTAATTGTGGCCTTTTGTTAACTTGCTTTTTATTACTAAAAATGTTAGCGAAAAGCATTTCTTTGGATGGCATGAATTCTAATTTCCTGACAAATAAAACTGCTTATTTAATTCATACTATATGGCTGCTGTTATCTGGTGTATTTAGTCTTCATTAGTGATGTTTGCTATTTTCTCCTCCCTGCTTAGTTACAATCAAATAACTTTCCTCTGGTCAATAGACTTTTTCCATAATTCCTTTTGAACTCCAGGGTGAATAGCTACTCAGAGGCATTGTGCATATGTAATTGACTTCCATAAACACTGTTAGCTTTTTTCTTTATGTTCTGATTAAAATAAGGAAGTGTTATCATTTATAGTAACAATTTGTATGTTAGCCTAGGTGCTCCTGCATTGGAAATCTTTATGACTAAATGTGTGGTTACAGTTGTTTTAAATGTGACCAAGTATGGCAATAAGCCGTATGTAAACCAGCAGAATGTGCTTATGCAAGGATTCTTGTGAATGGTGGGATAAAATCATTCCCTTTGGGACCTCTGGCTACATATGGTGTACCAAATGCTGACTAAGAATTCACTCTAAGTATCTTGTCTCTATGAGGCTTGAAGTGAGTAGACTAAACCACATTATTGTTCAAGTCTTCTGGGTAGACCACTCACCTGTCTCCTTGGCAAAGCAAGGACCATTCCTTGACCCTGTGACAGATGAACCACTTCCTGCAGTTTGTGTACCTCCTGTACAGGAGCACTGGCTCTGAGTTTCTTGGGAGCAGTGGGTTTACCATATGGATGTAGGAGTGCTGTATATGTATGAGGAGGGAAAGCTAGCAGCCAGCAACAGGATGACGGACAGCAGCTGGACTAGACGAACCCAAAGGTGGGCTCTAAACTGGAGAGGGATGAGCACTTCTGCTCTAATTCTTTAATCTGGTCCTCTTCTTTCAGTCAGTGGAGGAATCAGGAAGTAAAAAGAGGCTATGTGCTATTTTCACAAATAGAATAAAGCCACTTATATTGTTTTTAGTGCTGCTGTGATTTTTATCTGGTTTTCCTATTTCATTCTTCTGGAAATATGGAACTTCTAAAAGTAAAGTATTGAACTGAATACTGACTTGATTTTTTAAGTTCAGTCATTGTATGTTTGGAAATACAAAGACTGGACTTAGACTGTTGTTTCCTTCTAAAAAGGCATTTCAGAAAGGAGAGCTTTACTTCTGGTCCTCCAAGTGGCTCAACACCAAAACCAGCTAAATTAATTTGAAGGATTTTTTAAGCCAGAGAATGATTTTAGGATTCCTTCTGTGGTTTAAGAGCAGAACTATGAAAGAAGCAAGAAAAAATAATGACAGACTTGGTCCCAGGAATCTGAGGCTCTTTATTAAATTCTCATCATCATCATCATCAAGTTCCACTGAGAATTAAAGTCCTATGTCTTCTGAGTGTTCTCAGTTTGAGTAAAGGATAAAGTGGCATCTTTATAAGTGAAAGGAGAATTCCAAGTCCTGTATTGGTTGGGCTGACTTTTAAAAACTGTCTGAGCCCATATTTTGTAATAGGTGGGATATGAAGACATTTAGGGTAGTTTTAACTCAACTTCCTATTCCTGTTACAGTACTTACAGAATACATTGCACATGCATTCTGTGTACACCAAATTTACCATTAATGTGATCCTGTAAATGTAACTTCTGAACTTCATTTGCTCATTACACTGTGATACTAAACACTATTCTTGCCACAACTCAGAATTTAGTTTTGAATAATAAAATCCTTGACTGCAGTGAAAGCAATTATGGAAATGCATTTTCCTCTTTCACAGTGACAATTACTCATATAAATTAATTGTTCTTTATCTCTCAAGGTTGTTTCTTGGATCATAACTATTTGGATATTTGGATCCTTGACAATTTTTTTACTGGCTAGAGTTCTTGGAGGAGAAGTAAGTACCTGCATGTGAAAAGGATGTAGAGGGAGGTAAAGTCTCTTGAAAATGTTTTTCAGCAGTAGTTGGGTTTTCATAGTGCTTGGGTTTGGATTTTGTAGCCAGCTAAGAATGGATCCAGTTGCTAAGTGTAAAGTCAACATTTCAGGTTTTCAGTCTCCAAAATGAAGTCTAAAATGCAGAGATCATCAATTAATCTCTTGGTGCAATGGATGGTGTGCTTGCTTCCAGATTAACGGTCTGGAAATTAGTGCAGTGAATCCCAGGAATTCTAGCAGCTTCCTGTGATCCAGAACTGGACTCTATTCTTGAGGGAAAAATGCTGTCAAGTTTTTGGTCACTGGACTAAATGGAAACTTTTTTTTTTTTTTTTTTTTTTTTTATGGGCGGCTAGCAGCAGTTAGGTGTCCTTGTGTGTAAAGCACCTGCCAGTGTTTGTTTTCATCCCTGGCCTGATGCAGTTCAAACCCTCCAAAGTATGAAAGCCAGGGCATGTTTCTCAACTGCAAAGCCAGCTGGAGTTGTGGCCTGCATCCCTTCCTCCAGCTGCTTGCACCAGCAGGGTTGGAATAGCTGCTTGAGCTGTTTACAAATTGACTTATTAAGCAATTCAGGTGTAAACAACAGAAAATGTCTTAGAGCAAGGCCCACAGACAGCTGCAGTGGAACAGTCAGAGGATAAAACTTCTTAAAATGGATCTGCAGCATAAAATGCATTGAACTGTGTTGTGAAGAGCTAAATATTTACTGATGCTTTATTTTTATATTTTTACTATGGATATTGCCTTAATCATGCACCAGTGTTGCAGAGGTTCTATGTTATTTAGTTAATTTTTAAAATTTTCCTTTTAATCATAATTGTGAGTCTTCGTGTGTGAATGCTGTTTTGAAAGAAAAAGATTTTATAAATGTGATTGCATGGTATTTCTGCATTTCAACACAATCCAGAGGCCCTTAAATCAATCTGGTTTGTGGCTCAAAATGGGAAATTATCAGATGTATAAACTGGAGAAAAAGTATAGGTTTGCAAATCTTGTCATGAAGGATCATCATCCACAAGAAAATACTTACAAGGTGCCACTGCTTTTCCTGTTAAATCCAAGAAGCCTAGCTGTGCACAGGAACACTTCAGACCATAGTAGGGGAAAATGAGACATTTCCTTCTGAAGCTAAAAGTAGTTATGGAAGTAATTGGAACAACTGTTCTAGATAGTCTCAGTAAATTGAAGCTGGAAATCAGAATTCTGTGCCTACAGGGATCAAGTTTTAACTCTTCTGTGGACACCAAAAACATTCATGTGCTTTATGTATTTATTTATGTATAATGGCTATGAGTATGTTAATGCAGAAAATATGTCTTTGCTGCTTTTGACAGGACTACAGCTGGTCCTTGAGAGGTCTGTTGCAATTCTGTGCTCCTGGGCATCATATATAAATGCTTCCTTTGAAAGTGATCATTTACAATTTTTTGGAAAAAAAATTGAAGTATTTCTGATTTTAAGGTTTAGCATACAAAACCAATTTTTTACTAGCAATCCTCCTTTAGCTGAAATTTCATGAGTATAACACATAATCATTATGCATAGTGTTACAACAAGAGCAAATTGTATTTGGTGACAGAGATTGAGTACTGCAAAGCTTATTTTTATGTGCTTGAAAATTTCAGGTTGCTTATGGCCAAGTGCTGGGTGTAATAGGATATTCCCTGCTTCCCCTCATTGTCATAGCACCTGTACTTTTGGTGGTTGGATCATTTGAAGTTGTTTCTACACTAATAAAAGTAAGTTCATGTCATCTATTGAGAATTTAGTTATTTTTAAGTCACTTTCTTAACACTTCAAGTAATCTGCTCAGGAAAACATAATGATGTATCAAAATTTTCAGAACTACAAAGTGAGCTCTGTGATTCTTTGTTTAGCATGGTGGAAAGTGAATGTGGTTTTAAATGCTCCATTTGAGTGCTTGGGAATATACAATGCTGTTGCTATAACAACACCTGTTGTTACTAGAGTAGCTTGTATTTAAGTATTTTGCTGTGCTCTAATAGTTGCATTACAAAAAAAGAAGGGATTCTCATGTTGAGAAGAGAATGCATAATTAAACCTCAGAATGAAGAATCTGAAAATAAGCTCTGTCCCTTCCCCCATCATCTAGATTATTTTTAGTCACTGCAGCATGAAGATGACGTTAGTCATTGTTCTGAGACCTCCCCATAGAGGTAGTGGTACAAAGCTCTCCGTAGCCTTTGCAGAGAAGGTAAGGATTGTTCTGATTTAGAGACTGGGAGTGTGAGGCACAAAGAATAACCTGCCTTATACCACCTGCTGCTGGACACCTTTTGTGGAACCAGAAACATTCCCTAAAAGATCCCAGAATGACATAGTGCTCTTGAACACTTCCAGTACTTCTTAAAACCCTTTAAAGTGGCCTGTGAAGTTACTGCTGAGCCTGGGAATGTTAACTGATAAAATTCTGTTATGAGCTAAGCTCTACACTTTCTGGAGGTTTGCTCTGTTGATTTCATTATTTCTGTCCCTTTAGCTTGCTGGCAGACAGTATAATTGAAGTACAACTAGAGTGTATGATAAGTAACAAAATTGCTGTATTTGAGATTTGATAATCTGTGATTACTGATAAATTATAGTCAGAACATAAATCATTAACTTGTCAGTTCACTAATAAATAACTTCAGAATAAATATATGTTCATGAAACTTCTGTTACTTGATTACTACTAACAGCCTTATGTTAACTTCAGGGTGAATCTCTGCAAGGTTCTTATCTTTGCACCACTAGTATGAAAATGCATTACAAGCCCCACATGGCCAAAATTTCCTGGGCTGTGACAAGCACTGCTTCCATAGCTGTCTCTGTGTTGTACTGAGAGAAGTGATTTTTACTGTGGTATTTGGAGAGACTTTCTTGTGGTGTCAGCTAAGACTGTTCATCTTCTTTTTCAGTTGTTTGGAGTCTTTTGGGCTGCATACAGTGCCGCATCATTACTAGTTGGTGAAGAATTCAAGACCAAGAAACCCCTTCTAATTTATCCAATCTTTTTATTATACATTTATTTTCTGTCCTTGTATACTGGGGTGTGATCTAGTGTAAAATGTGGCCAGAAACCGTATTTCAGTCCCCTTGCAGACTGATAATGTGTAAGATTAAGAAGGCTGGAGATAACACAAGTGACTGTTTTGTATGCAGTTGTCGAGATGTTTTAAGATGGAAGAGCATATTTGTGTATATTATTTAATGAAGCAATTGTAGCTATATAGATTTGTATCAAAGTTCTAGGTTTGTTTAAGACTCTTCAGATTTTAATGAACAAAATAAAAGAACCTTGTGTTTTATAACAAAGCGTAGCAAAACTGCAACTCAATACCTGTGCCAAAAGCACTGGGACCAGATTACTATAGTCAAGAATTAAAAATGAGAAGTTAACTGTTAACAATCTCAAAGTGCAATTTTTCCTTTAAGCTTAAATACAGCTGGCTTTTTTTGGCACAGCAAATTCTGTAGATAATATATATTTATTAAACAGTCCTGATTGGTCACAGAATAGTCTGTATAATCAAGATAAAAAGATACTACTTTTAATTTAGTGCCTCAATTACTGTGATTTGGCTGTTGAGTTTTTATAAATTCCAATTTGTTTTCAAAACATGTATATACTGTGTATTTTGTATCTATGGCTTGTGTGTACCGTAAATACTCCTTGGTTAAGGATGTATATTGGGTTTTTAAAAATTGAAGATACAAGTATTTGAAGTTTTCATTTACTATCTCTGACCAAAGGAGCAAGATACTTACTGTGTGACATAATTAATTAAAGTGCATATTTAGAGAATCAAATTATTTTACTTAAAAGTATAAATTTACAGAGAAATGGGTGAACACCTTTCTCAACTCAAGTGCTGGCCTAATGTTGGAGAGAAAAAAGATGATCTATCAAATTTGTGTGATCTTTAAACAATGTTATTTTATGATGACAAAATAAAAATATTGCTTCCCTAACTATGTTTTACAACATCTTGCTCTGTTTTGCTTTTAATAGCATGGTATTTAACATGTATCTTTTTTTTTTTTTTTTTTTTTTTTGCCAATACTATTAATCCCTTGTAAAAAGAAATAAGAAAGATTTGGAAGGCCAGATTCTCCCTCCACTAAACAAGGCAGAGTTACAGCCTTAGTAACAGTTAGAGTCTTGCTAATTTTGACTCTCCAATGATTATATAATAATGTGATGACATGTTAAATATTTCCTGTGTACTGTGTTGATTGCTTATGTAATGGTCCTTATGGTAATATTTCTTCACAAGGGAAGTCCACTGAAGTTCACTTTGTATGGTACTAATGTAGGCATTTGCAATCTTCAGGATTTAGTATCAACAAACAGCTCTGAAGGTTTGGGGGTTTTTCTGGCAACAGAGAAAAAGCATTTCCCATTCTCCCCGCCCCCTCCCCCATCCTTTTTTTCTAAGGCTACAAATAAAAATCAGCCATGACAAGGTGATAGCAAGGGTTGTCTTGGATCCCTGATGGACATATTTCCATATCAGAAATGTAGTTTTTGATCTTTTTAGACTGTGTAACTAGCCAGCTTGGTAACTTATTTTTACCAGTCATTACTGATGCAAAATACATAATTAAATTCCAGCTCTTCCACAAACCTTTAACTTACTCAGTCTGCTTTCCTGGCTGATTCTTGTGTTGGTTTTAAACAGAACCACTTGAAGTTAGTGCTGGACATAAATTGTAGTGTAATACTTGAGCTTGTAATATATAGAAAGAGAAAAGTTGGTAGAGTGATTGACTTTTCACCTGATTTTTGATTTCTGAATAAGTTGTGGTGGAATTAATAGAAACATGTACTAAATCAATTTATACCAGCAGCAGCTAATTTCTTACCTACAAGTGTTTTGAGAACATTCATAGCACATTCTAAAAAAAAAGAAAAAAAAAAAGGAAGTTACGGTGTAATTTCAAAAAAAAGCATATTAGCTTTGGAATCTTTCATGATAATCTGGTTTTACCTCCTTTTTCATGACTTATATTTCTTTTTTTAACAGGAATACCCAAGTATTATTATAAGACTGCACCCAGCCCCTGTGAATGCATTTAACTTCTGTCCCTACAAAGGTGAAGGGCAAGAACACATTTAGGTTACTAGGCTGTCAGACAGCTTTAAGCTTAGTTCCTCTTTGCATAGTTGTTCATGAGGTGTTCTGTGCATCTGAACTGACTGTGAATATTGAAAAGATGCAAGAATGTTCTGTTGAATCCCCAAATACCTCCCTTTCCAGTAATGTTCTGTGAAATTTATAGTTGGAATTTTAACTGTTCCCTTCCACAGACTTGGCACAAGTGTAATATGCAATGTAGATAATGCATTTAATATAGTACATATTTTGTACCCAATTGCAGATTTGCACCTTTTAATCTTAGTATCTTTAGGGTCACTTTTTTGCATATATTGTGCAAGAAACATACAAACAGCTCTCAAATTATTCTGATAATTTGTAATAACTTTGCATTCAACAAACTCATATTTTTAGATGAGGTATGTGTGTAAATACAAGATGTATTTTATAAAAATTTTGAATTAAACTTGTTTACAGAATCTATGAAGCTCATTTATATTTACTGACTTAATACTGAATAATTAATATTGATGATTTAAGACACATCCATGTTCCTGTGCACGCCACCAATATATTGATGCTATATAACAGTAGCTTTGAGGCTATAAATAAGTTCTTGTGATAATCAACACACTGCTTCAGTCTGTCAAAACTGGAAACTTAGAGCACAATCATCTAGCAAAAAAAAATTGCCTTTCTAAGATGCAACACCTCATTTCTGGGGTGGTGACATGGATATCACACCTTGGTGAGACATGCATTTTGAATGATCTCTAGAGAGCAGCTAGACATGTACATCTTCTTTCCTACCCATCAGACATACTCTGCTGTTTATCAGAAAAATTATACTTGAAAAGCTGATAAAATCAATTGTTGAGACAACATACCGCTTGAGATCTGCTGTAATTGTATCATTATCCTTACTGGTGTTTAATGTTTTCCTTGAAGTACTACAGCAGGCTTAAAAGCTGCTCATTTTGCTCTCAGGACAATTTTGGTTAGCCTGGGTGGCACACGTACCCATGTGGGTTTGGTTTGGTTTCCTTATTTTTTCTTCACACACTGTATTTCTTTAAAAACTTCCCTGCTAGAGCAGCCTGTGCTAATTGGGGTCCTTTTAATAAAAATATTCCGTAGAAAACGTTGTATTTGAAAATTAGCTTTAAGACCATCAGTAGCCTAAAGCTTTGTGTAACATGTCACTTAGATCAAATAAAGCCTATGGCAGATAAAGTAGCGTTGTACAGGTAGGCTGAGCTATACAGACTGAATTGGCGCTTTAGTGGCTGAAAAGGGAAAATCTCAACAAAATACAAAATGTTCATTAAACTCAAGTCGTTTTTGAAGCGCTGCTTCAGAGCAGAACGCTCTCGTGGGTGCAATGGCTCCGTGCTCCCGGCCCGGGGCCAGGGACACCCTTCCCAAGGGCAGCGTCCCTTCCTGTGCCTTCGTCGCTCCGTACCCGCGCCGAGGCCACTGACACCGGGGCTCTCTGGCACACTCGGGGTCAAAAACACAACCGGTGTGGGAGCCAGGGGAGGAAACACAAATTCCCGCTCCGCCTTCCCCGGGGCGGAGGCGGCTTACGACCCAGGTTTCGTCCGAAGCAGTAACGACACGGCAGCGGCGAAGCCGGGATCGAACACGGCGGGCCGGGAACACCGCGGGCCGGGATCGCACACCGCGGGCCGGGAACACCGCGGGAGCGGAACCGGCGCGGGCTGGGCGGTGGGTGGCGCGCATGCGCGCAGCGCATGCCCCGCCCCTGTCCCGCCCCTCGCGGAGCGGCCCCTCGCCCCCGCCCCCCGCCGGGCCGCGGCCGCTCGGTTCCGCATCCGGCGCGGCTGTGTCACTTCCCGCTCACGCGGGCGCTCTCCCTTTCCCCCTCTCCCCGGACCCGGATGGTGACTGGCGGCGGAGGCTCCAGGGACTGTCAGTGAGCGGCTCTCCGCGGGCCTCTTGTCCTGAGGGCGGTGGCGGCGGCGGCCGCGAAGATGGCTGCGGCGGCCTCCTGCTCCTCGGCGGCGGCGGCGGCGGCGGGGCCCGGTCCCGGTCCGGGCTCCTGCGAGTGGCTGCTGCTGCGGGACGGCTGCCTGCGCTGCGACGCCGACGGGCTCTGCAGCCTGTGCTACCACCCGGCGCTCAACGCCATCCTGGCCGTGACCGCGCGCGGCGCCATCAAAGTCATCGACGGCACCTCGGGGGCCACGCTGCAGGCGTCGGCGCTCGGCGGTGAGCGGGGAGCGGGAGCGGGGCCGAACAGGTGTCGTGGCGGCTCGGGGGAGCCTCGGGAAGGAGCGGCCGGGCTCGGCTCGGGCCCTGGGTGCCGGAGGATCCCCCCGGCTTATTGTCAGCCCTTTTTCTTTTCCTGGCCTGAACGGCCTCCCTGCCCAGGGAGGTGGTGGAGTCGCCGTGCCTGGAGATGTTTAAGGAGAGACTGGACGCGGCACTCAGTGCCATGGTCTATTTGACATGGTGGTGTTTGGTTGTGGGCTGGACTCAGTGAATCTCAGAGCTCTTTTCCAACCGGAGCCTCTGGTTCTGTGTTCCTACTCTTTGGGGCAGAGATGCTGATGTAGACAGCGCCGAGGCGTTTTACTTCTGTAAAACATATCGGCATGGTTACTGAAAGATTAAATGGGCATGGAAGGCTGCGATATATAGGCTTGTATTTTTTAATTTTGCTTTTGCAGGTGTTGTAGCTCAAGTAATGTTGAACTTCCAAAGATTAGATGCAGCGTGTTAGCCAGGACAGGCATAGTTCTAGTTCTTATTGATATATAATACTGTAATAATTTATTTACTGAGCCTTATTCTGTTTTTTTTTTTTAAGAAGGCTTACTGCTTAAAAGTGTCATTTGTCCTATGGCTTAAAACTATTTAAGATCAGAATCCTTCATGAAGTTATTTGGTGATACATTTTTGTATGTGTTTGAATAGTTCTTCAGGCTGTTGACTGTCTTGACTGTCTCTGGTGATAGTAACCATATCCCTGCTATTATGTTCAGGAGGCATGACTGTACTGGCTTTGGAGAGGCTTAGACTGTAGCATCTCCGTAACTATGAAGCAACTTTATTTGTTGACCATAACAGTGTTTTTGCACTGTTAATAAACTAGCTCTGTAGAAAAAGATCCAAATGCCATTAACAGCTTTTGTTCCTTGTTCATTAATGGCTTTTAAACTGTGGCACTCGTCAGAATATTGGAGATAGGTGGTGGATAGGGTTATTTGTCTCCTTGTGAGTCCAGCCCTTGGAATAGAAAGAGAGGCTTCTTACCAGTTGTGTTCTCCTTACAGTTGTGTGTTGCTAATGAGATGTTGCTTTGCTGAGTGGTGGTGGTGAAAGGTTGTTTGCTGCCTGAACGTGGTACAGTGATGCCAAGAGCTGCCATATATTCCCATATTCCCATATGGCATGGGAATGCCATAGCCTAGGCAATATGTACACTTTCACCTTGAAAACCAGTAACTGTATTGCAAACGTCAAACTGAAGAGAACAGGACAAAAATTGCTGATTTTCTTTCATAGCTCAAGTTGGTACATTGTATGTAAAGGTTAAGCATTTGGGGCAATTGAAAAAAAAATAGTTTTGTGAAATTATTAAGAAGGTGCCAGCTGCTTTTGTTGTCAGTTGCTTGCATGGAGAATGAGGCTCTTGTGTGGTGTTTCCTGCATTGTTCAGGATTCAGATCACTCTGCTTCTATAATTCCCTTCTACCATGCTGTCTCTGAAAGTGCTTTTTTTATTAATAACTTTGTTTCTTTTCTTCAAGCTATTGCAGGAATTTTAAAATTGCTTTTAAGTTGTGGATGAAGAGGGCATAGAGGACTTAATTTGTAATTGGCTGTCTGTGTAGGAGATGTTTAATT